GTCTTGTAAATGGAATTTTTAAAGCATTCTGAATGTAAAAATAAAGAAAAAAAAAAGTGCAAGACAATAAGAAACACATGCCAAAAAAAAAGTGAAGTTTTGTTGAAATTGGTTGAAAAATGTAGGAAATCCGATCCAATATATAAACGTTACAGACACACACACACACAATCTGCATTTTATAATAAGATAAGATCAATAAAAAGGTCAGCCTGTTACTGGTAATATGTAACCCAGTACAACCCACCACACAGATCAGTGGTTGGCATCTAAACCAGTACTTTCACTAGCTTTTCTGCTTGCTGAGGAAGGTGGCATGTAAACGCCACAGGATGAACGACAGGAGCCAATGGCCATATATATATATATATATATATATATATATATATATATATATATATATAGTACAGGTAATAGATCCGTTGGTATATAATCCAGGTGGATCCTAGTAATAACAAATATTAAAACTGATCCACAGAGCATTCAATGTCTTTATTATAACAGAGCATATATAATTTTTACCTCAAAAACCAAAATTACCTCAGCATGAGTATAGTCTATTTTGAGCTGGTCTTCAGCTTTTAAGTGTTTGTCAGACAAACACTTAAGAGATGAAGATGGCTGGGTTCAGACCAGCCAGAAATAGACTATACTCATGCTGAGGTAATTTTGGTTTGCTAAAAAAAAATATATATATATATATATATATATATATATATATATATATGATAAAGTATAGTTTTAAAGTATGCTATATTTATAGGTTAAAGTGCTCAATATCAGGGATAGAGTGTGTGTAAATATAAAAGTTGACATTGAAGTCATGGTAATTGTTCTGATGGGTCTTTTGTATCTGAGACTTCACAGTAGTACAAAAGTCAGCTGGAATATTCCATAGGCTGAATAAGATATAAATGTAAGTAAACACACCAGTTGGTAGGCTAAAAGTGTACCAGAATGCAACAGGTAGCCAGCTAGCTGTTGTATTCTGGTACATTTTAGCATGTCTTTTTCTTAGTCTATCAACCAGCGTGTTTATTTACATGTATATCTTGGTCAACCTATGGGCATTCCAGCCAAGTAACCTGTGGGATATTCACTCATGCCATAGGAGTAATGGTAGTAGAATTTTAGACTTGTTTTTACGAATATAAAAACATGAAAAAGTAAATGTGCACAATACAGAAAAGGTATAAATAATTATATTGTAATTTCATACAATTTTAATTATGTATTTGTGTATTGATGTATGCATTTTACATTACAATTGTGATAATGTTCATGTTATAAAAGGAAGTAAGTTACTCCATATCACAAGTCCTATCATGGAGAGAAGTTACTTGTTCATCTAGACAGTTCTTGGGCAAAGAGGTTGAATCTCAGGTCTTTTGATAGGATGTCCGTATTTCCGGCAGGAACAGTTTTTGTTGCATGCTGGGAGTAATTTTATAATTTTTATTTTAAACAAAGTTTAAATATTATTATTTTATTTATAATTTTCATTATTATTATTTTTTATTTGTAACAATAATAATATCCCTACAAACCGTAAGTTCTATGCTAAGAGTTTTTGCACTTCTTGCTTGGGGAACTCTCTTCTGGCTTCTTGCTAATATTTATTTGCATTAAAAAAATACAAAATGCGGCACAAGGCCAAAGAGGGGGATGGGGGAATGACGGTCTTCTTCTGTCTTAAATCTAAAACTTAGCTAGTCACAGACACTGACCCAAACATGCCAACAATACTCCAATCACCAAAACATCACATTCACTCCTACCTTTCTTACTACGTCCACCATAATACCTCAGTTACTCTATGACGTCCAAACTAGTCCCCTTATATACAAATATTGTTCATGGGGGGAGGGTCATAAAAATAACAACTTTTAAAATCCCCAAATGAATATTTACAAAGTGAATTAAATATATACAATAAACTGAACAAAATTGAGTTAGTAATAAAACCCCCCACAAACTATGAATGTGGCAGAAATATCAGTTAGCCGGACGAAATCGATGCGGGACTAAGAAAATAAAGACACATTCAAACCAACAAGCGTTCACACGAACACTCACTCATTCATACACAACAACAAATACGAAAACACACACACGAAACGAAAGGCGTCCCACATCCACCAGAAAACCGACATCACTAACCACCCTAACGAGGGAGGGATGGGGAATTAAACAAAAGTAAAAAATAGGGACAGAAATAAAAGGGACCAATGAACTTACATACCCTAGCTAAGTTAACGGGAAAAAAAAGAAAACTAAAATTTCAAAAACGAAAACCTAGTCTAGCCTAATATCTGGGTGGGTTGCCTATATTTCAACCCTGTTAGGACAAAATTCTGTACCTAACCGACATCCAAATGCCACTCTAGGTCAGCCCTTTTCACTCTACACATTCACGCAAGATTCACCCACCTTTTGCGAATTCTGATGATGGGAGCCGCCGCCTTTCCGTCCTAATCTTGACTTTAAGCAGATCAAAGTACAAGAAGAAGGGAACTTCGCCTTCATAGAATCCTTCTGTCGCGTCGTCCAAATCACGACTCGCGCATAACACCTAGTAAGCAACAGAACACATAGTGTTCAGCCTTCGTCAATCAGTGCGATACCACATTGCTACAAACAGAACTGGCTTCCAGGACAAAAAACTTTCCCTGCAGCATGCGAACCATGAGGCCTTCAACAAACTTGCATTAACGGCACTACCGCCTCGCACTGAAAAAAGGCGTGACCAATGGTCTCGACATTCCCAGTACAGCGACGACAGTTTGGATATTTCTCCAAGCCTGCTGAACAAAGTCTTTTGCCGACCCAGAGGGCCCCACGAATCATCAGCCAGGTGAGTGATGCCTCATCGTTATTGAGACATTTCAGCCCAGGCGCCCAAGGCCATATCGAGCGAGCCTCCTGCTTCAGAAGACCAAGCTCGTCGATCAGACCATCTTGAACGGACCCCCTAACTAACACTTGATATAATGCCTTACGAGACAACGCTTGGGCGTCAGAGAGGCCATCCGACGTCCGCAAGAGGAGTTTCAAAGCACGACGACATTCACGGTAGAAGGAGCACTCGCCACGCAGGAGTACGACCGCCTCCTCCTCGCACGAAAGTGCACACTTCTCAGGGATGGGAAATGTTTTCGGACATCTTCTTTCCAAAAGGTGCCCACCTCATCCAAACCCACGACACATTCGGTCTAGAAAGGTAATGCGAGCATATATTGACGAATCTCAATGCTAGGCATACCCAGACCGCCCTCAGAGGGATGAAGGCAACAGATCTCGCGAGATGCCATATGGGCCTTGCCTCTCCACAAGAAAGAGAACAAGGCCTTGACTAATGACATTAGTCGGGCATACGGGAGTGGAAGCACAGAAAGATGGTAGAGGAGGATCGGATAGATGTGTGAACCACAAACATCCGCCCTTCCCTTCAGGGAAAGTCCCCTCCGAGACCACAGACTAGCCGCGGCCTCGGCCCGCCCTTGTACCTCCGACCAATTCATTTCCAACTGGAGATCAGGACCTTCTGGCTTCTTGCTTTCCAGTCAACTTTTATCTTCAAAAATTTAAATGCAATGTCATCATCTTCTGTCGTCTTAATTCCTGATCTTCTTTTATTGTTTTCTCTCCTTAACGTTTTTTTTCTTATTCTTTTCCCACTAAGTAATACGTTTCTAATGATGAAAAATAGTTAATAAAAAAAAAACAAAAAACAAACAAAAAAAAAAACACTTAAGAATACTGCAGATAAAAGAGGATTTTGTTCTACTTTGCAATTTTTTAACTGAGTTTTGTCGCATGAGGTGGAACTGTCTGGACTTGGGACCCTACACGTCTTAAGTTGTAAAAGTAAAACTTTTTTTTTTTTTGATAAAATATTTAATTTATTTTTATATTAGTATTTTATAAAGTTCATCAGAGTTTCATGTCATTGCGCAATATTAAAACATTAAAGTCTTACGAGCCCAACTTTTGAAAAGCTCCTTTCCATGATTATCTCTATGATGATACACCACCAGGACAGGTGATATTGGTTAAGCCCTAAACGATTTTTGCATAATCAAAAAACTGGATTACCTCCCTTGGATATATTTACCGTGCATCATGTTGAACTTGGAGAATTTAAATTTAAAAACGAGTCATGATGACATAAAGTTGGTTTTTATTCGCAGAAATTAATTGTTAAAATATAAATAAAGTAAAATAGTTTCTGAAATACAATATTGCGTTTCAGAAGGTATTTTTCCTTTTTAATGTTTGACTTTTAAAAAATTTAAGTAGAAAACTAAAAAGGTAGGTTCAACGTTTATTAAATTTTGTTTTCATTTTTTTTTTAAAGACTTATTGTTAGTTCACATTAATTCATTATTTCCATTTACTAACAGAAAAGAGTCTATTTATTGAGCACGCTTAGAAAAAAGAAAAAGGTAGTGATTTTTATCAAAGCAACTAAAAATTTTCAATGACTGGGGGGTGCCTCCCCTAAGCATGTGTTAGAAAACTAATTCAAATAAAATCATAGACACGTTTTTGTTTTACTTCTGATGCGTGATTTTTCACAAGTCGAAAAAGGTCGGCTCTATGAGGCTAGGTAAAGAAACGAAAAAAGAATTCTATTTGGTATGTTCCAATCTTTTAACGTAATTAACACTAATTTAAAATATATTTTATAATAAAAGCCACAGTAACATTTTCACAACCGTTGAAATCATACAATAACAATGAGGGTGTTTTTTTTTCTTTTTTAACCAAAGTTTTTAGAACCACTGAGAAACAGGAAAAGGATTTTTTTTTTTTAAATAATGTTTAGTATACTAAATTTAGAAAATAAGGAAATAGAGGTTAGAACTGATTTAAAAAAAAAATAAAGCAACATTTTAATAAGAACTTCATTCTTCATCATAAGTGATAGTCTATTTATTTTCTTAAAGTAAAGACGAAGGTCTTTCTAGTCCTAAGAAAGAGAAAATTAGATTACATACCGTCAATTTTTGCTTGACTGAAGTTCACCGCCTAAAAATTGAAATAAAAACATTACATTTTAGTTACAAACAAAAAAATAAAAGCTGATTTTAAAACAGGAGAATTCGCTTTTTTTCAGATAAATATTTACTTCCATTCATTCATTCAACTTACCATGTTGGTTGTTGAATTCGATTTGTGGAGGTGGCGACGAAAGCCGCTTAGAACAACATGAAACAAGCTATGAATTAGTTTTTAAAATGACCAACTTTTGCCGTTGCCTAATTTAATAAATTCTGAAATAGTCATTTTAATTATTGACTACCAAAGATACATGTATATTATGTCTATATTAATTGTGATAAAACAATGTTTGTTATGTACGTTAGCGGCCTATCAAAACTGTTGAAATGATTTTATGTCGATTAAATTGCTAATGAATCATTTTCGTCCTTTTTGATTACATTTTAAATGTTAGTCTTTTTTTTTTTTTTTACTTTGTGACTTGCTTTATTTTCATAAGATTATTATTGAATTTAACCCTGAAGCTAAGACGCAATATTTTGACAGTTTTTTTTAAAATTTTTTATATTATCTATCAAGTTAAAAAAAAATCTTGTCTTTATCGACCTCAGATAAAACAAAACTTATTACCTGCCACTTCAAAGACATTTTTAACCTGAATTACAAAAAACAAAATAAAAATCTGATGTGGACCGACTAACGTGGGGAGAACCATCAGCTTTTAAAACAAAAAAAAAATACAAACACTTTTTTTTTTCTTTTAAAGACAATCATTCATTTATTTATCTGTACTTATTTTCAACAAGATCCCATTTAATGGAGATCTGAGACAAACAAAAATGTTATATTTTTCTTAATTTAGGAAATAAAAAAAATACTGTTACAAAATTTCGTTGTGATGTTATTGCATAAAATAAAAATAGGATTTTTTTTTTTTTTGGACCAGGTAAAAATAATTATCAATGTAAAAATTGTAAAGCAATTTAAACTTTTCTTTATTTACACATTCTAAGTTTCTCTCTCTCTCTCTCTCTCTCTCTATATATATATATATATATATATATATATATATATATATATATATATATATAAATTGAAGTTATTTTTTCTCTCCCCCCACCCAGGCTCTGAGATATTAAAAAAAAAAAAAATGTGATGATAATTGTGCAGGTTATTGACCAACTTCTTACAACTCCAACAACAAAAAAATATTTTTTTAGGATTAGTTTTAGAATTAGTTTTAGAATGTATTTGAATTTGAAACATTGTTGCTATTGCCACTAATTAGATTTTTCTTGTCATTGAAAAAACAGTGGTATTCTAAACGACTTTTGTGTTGCTAATTTACCGATTAATATAATTGGGGGTGGGGTGAAGGGTTGTCACAACAATTGTATGTGCGAAGTACAGGTTGGTGTGCGACAATTAGAGCACTTTTCTTTTAATTTTACATTAATATTCTAATCTGTCGTAATCGAAACCGTTATTATTTAAAATTTCTTCCTGGAATCAAATTATTCATTGTTTAATTAAGCTTATTTTCTCAACAAAAATATTTTCTTCTTTGCCTAAATAAAAACAAAAACAAAGAGGTCACTGTGAAAGAAATTCAGTCCAAAATTAAAAAATAATTCGAACAATACCCAATTTCTTCGATAACACACTTTTTTTTTAAATGGTCTAAAAATTATTTATTAAAATCCAGTTAATTTATATTTATTAATTTATATACCTTCTTTTTCTTTTCTTTTTTCATTAAAAAAAAAACAATACTCTGAAAAGAGTTGACGTCTGAAAGGTTTTTCAACAAAGTTAGGATAGAAAATAAAATAAAAAAGGAAATTCTAAAAAGTTTGGTTGATTAAGAAATCACCAACCTTTATTTTACAACAGAAATATTTTGTTTAAAAAATAGTCAAAGTTACAAACACATTATTTCTTTTCTTTTCTTTTTTTTTTTTAAATAATTCATTATATTTTTTCTTTTTTTCGTATATTTCGAGATTATTTCTAAAATATTCGATCCATCTTTTTTCTTTTTTTTAATTAAATAAAAAAGGATTTTATTTGTCCTATTTGAAACTTTTTTGCCCACCTTGCGTCATTTTTCAAGTGACCTTCTTTCTTTTTTACCTGTTTCGTCGTCTTCATAACAAGCAAAGAAAAATGGTGAGTAATTTATGACCTAAAAGTTCAAATACATTCTTAATTTTTTTTTTTTACTTTCCTAGATATTTTCCTTATCTACAAGTATATCATTTTCTTTTCTTTTTTTTAGGCTCGTTATTTCTCACAGTCGAAAATTGATGGTAAGAAGTTTTTAATTTTCAATCGGATCGTCATGATTGTTTTAAAACTCGCACTGTCCTAAAAAGGACAGTGCGATATATTTTAGAAAGTTTTTTTTAAACTAAACAACTTTCTTTGTCACATATCATAAATCAGTTTTAATTTTTTAAATATTAATTCATCAATCAGTTTTTTGGGGTTTTTTATGGGATTTTTTTTTAATATTCAGACTTCGTAAACTTTTTAATTTTAAAATGAATGATTAAAAAAACAAATCTTTCAAGGGGATACGCCCGTTTTTCTCATTAACCTCACTATTTTTTCTCTTGTTAGTTATTAAATAATATAATTATTTTAAATATCGTAATTCATTTATAATTTTGTTAGTTTGTGATTCACAATAAAATACACATGAATAAAAATTAAAAAACGCAATCGAAAATATGGTCTTTCTTTACTTTTCTTTTGCGATATTGCGTGCTAAAAAGACTAACCAGGTTTTTAGTTTGTGAGGTCTTTTGTTTAAGCTGAGTACGATAGAAATAGGGGAGAAATGATGTAAGAAGATCGTGTAGCTGTAATCTAAAGGGAAGGAAGCTGCCTACTTTGAAAATCAGCATTCGAGATCCCGATTTTAATTATTACGCAGATACGACCGGCTTCCTAAGTCTCGTTTATCCCCACTCTTAAAATTTGAAGAATTTTTTAGTTTTGAAATAATTCTTTATTCAGATTCTTTTCACCAAATACTTTTATTGTTTTTAAAATAGAAAAAGCTAATGAACTTTTATTTAAAAAAAAAATAAAAAAATAAAAATAACTGAAATAAAAAAAAAACTAAAACAAACTTTTTTTAAAAAAAATTACTAAGTTTGGTAAACTTTCTGACAGAATCTAAGGGACTTGGCTATAAAAAAGTAGTTATTTTTAATTTTAAAGGAGTTTTCAAAATATCTGCCAAAATTCGCACTCTCTCACAAATTTCAGCACTGCTGCTTTTTTTTTAAAAAAAAAACAAAAAACAAAACTTGTCAGCACTTGTGGAATGACTGAATTGAAAATAGAAGGAATATTCTCTAATCACATTAAAATTAAACGTACAAACATTGAATAAAAACTTTTTTAAAAAAAGCTGGTTTGAAGGGTGGAAATGTTGCTAAGTAAGATACACTTCGTTGGTGTTAGAAAGAAAACCTTTAAAAAAGAAAGAAAACAAAGTTAACTTAGTTAAATTAAATATCTTCATTTGAAATTGGCGCTTTTTAAAATTTAATTAAGAAAAATGAACTTCTATTGTTGACATTTAGTTTCTGAATTAATTGTAAATAAAACTTAAATATATATTTGTCACGGTGGGATATGGATATACATTGGTTTTAAAAAAAAACTTGAAGTGCAAGGAAAGAATGGTTGTTATTGTGCAATTCCAAGTCTTCCCAGGTGGGAAGGTTTATCTGTCCGTTTAATTTTCAAATAATGGCCTTTTTTTTTCTTCTAATAAACTTGAACTCAAACACTTACTTAACCAGACCTTTGGCGCTAAAAAGAAAAACAAGAAAAAAAAGTAATTTCCTTCTTTTTACGAAGAAATATCATTCGGGCAAACTATCAGAATACAAAATTGATTCGCTTTTTTAGTCAGAAGTGGAATCAACTGTTCTCATTTTACAATGAGAGAATGTGCCACACCCTGGTGATTCTAACCCAGCAGCAACATCTTCTTCACTCAAAACAATAAAAAGTCATTGATCCCACTTTAGTAAAGTGGGATCAGTATACTTTAATTATTGACACCCGTGTGACAGTGGTCGCAGGTACTAGAGACAATTTTTGTCCTTGGCCCATCAAAGCCTAAAGCCTTGTGCTTTTAAATGACTTACATACATGCTTCAACATTGAATTTCTAGAGTTTTCCTAAAATTATTTATGGTGGGGGTAAATATTTTTCATGACTTAAAAAAAAATATATCATTCTTGAATTCAAATTGTTTCTGAAAGTTTCATTTAAAATCCAACGATTATTTCTATTTTTGCAAGATTTTCAAAATTAATGTCTGTCATTAAAAAAAAAAATGCACGAAAATTTGCTATGTTGTTTAGAACTTCCGCTGACGAATAGAAACAAAGGTTTTTTGTTTTTTAATTAAAAAAAGTTAGAATGTTCGAAAAAGACGGAAAAAGTTTTTTAAAAAATAATTAAAAATTACCCTGTTCTTTCCACTTTTTACTAACATAAACTTTGATGATGGAATGGCTCCCTTCATAAAAAAATAGGGGGAAAAATATTTTAATTTTCATGTTATGATTTTTTTTTTACACATTCTTTCTGTAACAAAATTTGTCAGAATCGAAACATATTGACTTTTTTTTTTTTTTTTTTTTTTTGATTAATTTAGAAGGTGGGTTTTAGTGTATATAATTAAATTATATAATCCATCTCCGAATTTTTTTACAGAGTTATTGAACTTGTGTATCATAAATGTCAAGTTTGAAACTGTTTTTACATCATTGATATCAACTGCATATTAATTTTCTGAATTTTGAAACTTAACATTTTAAACGTTTTTACAGGAAGGGATTTTTTTTTATTGGGAGTACTGTACATAAACATTGGGAATAATTATTTTTCTTAAATGAAGAATAAATAGATATATACTTGTATTAATTTATGTTTTTGTTTTTTAATAATTTTTTTTTATTTAAAAACATTTTGTAAAAAAAAAAAAAGTCTTTTCATATGCAGAACAACCAAGTTCAATAATTTCGTAAAAAGGCAGTGATCGATTCTACACTGTATGCATATCATAAACAGGACCCCCACTTCTAAAATGATAAAAAAATCAATATATATTGACTCTGACAAATATCATTGCTTGCAGAAGATCTAATAAATGCTAATCTTCAAAAACTGTCCCCCCCCCAAAAAAAAAATTCAGTAGTGCCATAAAATTTAAGTGATTGTTTACATGTAAATAGAGAGAATATTTATAAGGAAGGGATAATAAGGCATTTCATAATGTCTGCAGAACTACTTTCTGTCTACTGTAGAGTGATGGTTAACATAGTTACTTCTTGTGAGATGGATCCTCATTGGGCACTCTCGTTTATTATGCAAATTATGAATTGATAATTTTAAATATTTGGGAAGTGTTTCAATGGATGATGGAAAAATCTGAGGGTTCATTGGAAGAGCAAAAGATGCCTTCAAAAAACTAAGCAAAAGTATTAAGATATTAAGAGACAGGAACATCAAATTAGAAACAAATAAGAAGGCTGAACTGTTATGTACTCTCAGTTGTACTATATGGCAGTGAATGTTGAGAATACCATGGACTGAACATGTGATTGAAGAGGAAGTTTTAATAAAATGGAAGCGAAAAGGACAATTATTCTTAGAATTGGAAAGAGTTGAAATTTTTAAGACACAATGAAGAAAGAAGTCTAAGAGAATTGGACACTCACAGGACATACTGAGATGCAGGAGGCAAACTAAGTAATCTATCTAATGAGCTTGTGTAAATGGTTAACAGAACAGTAAGAGAGATAATACATAGATAAGAATAGGAAGTTGTGAAGAGCCATAATAGCCCATTTCCTGAAGAGATACGACACATTGAAGTTTTGTAAATATATAATATACTAAAACAAAAACTAGATTACTTTTACTGTTCAATCTACACAGAAGCTGATTGCATTTAAATCAGTTGCTTCATCTGTTGCTAGGAAAGTCAGTTCCCTGTGATGTGCAAGACAGTTTACATATTTATAAGTCAACCATTTGTCCTTGATTTGATTGTTGCTGAGACATCTCCTGCTATATGTTTAGAGATTCTTGATAAAATCTAAAGTATCTGCAATAATATTGGTCCTGACCTGACATCTCAGCTTCAGTCACTTTCCATACCCTTTTAATGTAGCCTCCTTGTATCTTTTCTATAAATACTTTCATGGGAATTGTTCTGATGAATTTTCCTCTATGGTATCGAGAACTTGAGTTTAAGTCCAGTACTAGATTGGCAGCTAGGTCTCATCATCTTACTGCTGAAATGGCTAGATGTAACCATAAGTTCTATGTTAATACTTTCTTCTATCACACTTCATGCTTGTGGAACTCTTTTCTGGCTACTTCGTCAACTTTGATCTTTAAAAATTTAGATCATGCCATGTCAATTATTATCTACTGTCTTAATTCTTATTCTTTCTATCTCCTTAATAGTTTTTGTTTTGTTTTTTTTTCTCATATTCTCTCTCATACAGTAACCCTTTGCATCTTAGTGGCTTTATTGCCTTCCATGAGGTGAAATGATTAAAAATAAAAAAGCAATTAGAGGCTAGCCAACCCTTCTGGTTAAAAGTAGTTCACTCCTGGAGATGTATTTAAGCTCTGCCAATTTCTCCTTTGTCATTGTTTTTTCTTTCTTTTATCTCAAAGCCCTGTCACTTTGAACAAGAAATTGCTCTTCCCTTCTTTTGGATTTTTTTTTTTATCTGCTCTAATATTTACAATAGGTAAATTAATTTGAACATTAATTATTTCAATCTCTAGAATTATTGTGTGTCAAACTTTATTTCCCATCACTCCACCCACAGTTGAATAGATTGTTCTACTGGGCTGTGTCTTGTCGCAGCTGTGGTCAAAGAATTTCTACAAAATTAATTAACAGGAATTCAGTCACTGCAATCAGATTCTATGGATGGGATATAAATAGGATTACTTTTCTCTCGTTGATCATGTTCAATCTGACTGCCCAACAATAGACATTAAGAATCTCTCATAAATAAACAAATATAAATAGCGCTTAGTAATTAGGAGTTGCAATTGAGAATTCTTGGCTATAAATTTCCCAGGAAATTGCAACCCCTAGTAGTAATATGAAATGTCTAAATGTAAAGCATACACAGTAAAGGAAAAACTGCATTTGATAAATTAGGATATGGGATGATGAAATGAAAGTGAAGATATGCAGGGATACAGGGGTTGAGTGAAGGAGGAGACTAAGCTGTAAGAGTTCACAGAGACAGTCCATGGGTCAGAAGGACTGTATAGAAAGAAGGTCTGGACAGCCAATGATGAACAACTGGACAAGGCTCTGCTCACTTGGTTTGTGAAAGAGCAGAGCTAGGGGATTCCTCTGTCAGTTGAGTTAATGGACATTGATGATTTTATTAATATGAATAATGTATTTTTTTTATTTATTTATATAACTATTGTGCTTATTGCCTGATTTTTATCATATGTATAGTAAACATGATATTTGTGGAAATAAATTTAATTTCTTATACTTCACACTTTCCATCATTGTCTTTTCCTTTTACAATGCTGGACTACTTTTCAAACTAGACCATGATGGATTGCAAGAGGAAATACTTTTGAGGACAGTTAAAATTTATTGTATAAAAAACTGCTGTAAAACACTGGAATAAGTTGAAATTTCAAGTAATTTGCTTTGTAAGCCTCATGCTCAGTTTCTAATAAAGATTTCCCGAGTAGTTATATTTACATGTAAATTTAGATTAAAAAAAAAAAAATAACCATTTAAGAAATTTTTATTAGTGCAGGGCTAAAAAAAGCAATTTACCTGAAATTTTTTATGGAATCCTTGGCATAAATTAGTATAATTTTTGAGGTTCTTTCTGAGCCATTATCTTCGGTATATATCATGAAATAGGGCAAATAGGATCCCAAAATCAGCTAGGCATTCAACCACTTATTATTGCACACTCCCAAGCTACCACAATTCACCTGCAGCATGAGTTGGCCATCTTGGGACCCAAGACCCATGCTATAGCGGTGGACTACTGTATTGTAAAATTATGTAAATATGATGAATGAAATATTTACTTACCATTCCTACAACATAAACATAGCAAAATGTGTGTATTTAAAGTAAACTTGTTATTAAAAATAAGTAATTAAAAATTTTCTGATTTTAAATCGAAAAAGATGTTTATGGGATATCTGATTGTATTAAATGAAAATCCCCCCCCACCCCCAATTAATATCTATGGGAATTCATGCTTTTTACAATTTTTATTTTGAATATTTGAATAAATAAATAAAAACTTTTTTCAAATAATTGTATTTAATATTCTTTTTAATTTACTTTGTTTTAATAGTCTTTTTTTTTTTTTTTTAAAGTTATATTCTTAGTTACTATAGATATAGAAATAAATTCAAGAATAAAAAATTTAAAAATATAATGTTTCAAAATTATCAGCAGAATTAAAAAGTAAAAACGAACGGTAAGAATAATTTCTGTTTTTTTCTTTTTAATTCTGAGAATTTCAAAATGCTTACATGGCTAAAAATGGATTCTAATGCAATTCTGTATTTTTAATTTTAAAATATCTTTGCAAATAGAAATCATATGATGATAATATTTTTGCAAAAAGGTGGGTTGGATAATACAGAGTATCTATTTATACTTTATTGTTAATTATTGTAGTTTAGCCACGCACACACACACACAGATAACTACTCTTTATATATGTATAGATAATGGATCATATACAACACAGGTGAACAATTCAATGAGAAAAATTCAAAATAAATACAATATATCTAAATATAAATTAGACATATCATAAAAGATCAGCCCGTTTTAAATAAATCAATCTTTTTTTTGTGGCAATTTTTAACATCAGCTAGATTTTTTTCTTTTTAAAAAGTTGAATAATTTTAGCACATTCAAGAATTTTATATAATGTTTTTATGACTTAGCATGGGCAAATCACACACGGATTTGGACAAAAAAAAGCAACTATCAAAATGTGAAAAATGTTCATCTTTAATCAGTCATCAATTGTGCTTAGTTTAATTTTTAATGTCTATAAATGTAGGCAGAAAAAAAGCAAATGTTGGTAAGATAGCTATGGTTACAAGCACTGCAAGACTTTGTTTGCTAACCATTTCTTCATAGTGAGATCCTTTTTAGTATAAAGCTTAGTCCGGCACACAGCCATAAATGTGAAACACCTACTGAATAGTTATAGTCTGTGAGATTAACTTATAAACCATTGTTCTGCAGGTACTGCCTTTTTAATCTTTTGTCAGTTTATAAGAATTGTCTGATATCTCAATTTCTAACAGTTTTCACTAAAATTCCTCTACCCATTTCATTGAATTTCTATTCCATTGACAATGATGTAAGCAGTTTGAGAGGAACTGTGACAAAGTTTATATTCCTGCAGTAGAATCTTGTTAGATATACAAATCTCAAACATTAAGATTGTAAAGGAAGTTTTTCTGCAAATGAGGCTGAAAACATTCTTTTTGTTTCCAAATCTGGTTGGTGCAAAAGTGATACCAATATTAGCAGATTGATGAAAATGTCTTGTTATTCAAATCCGAATTGTCCAAGATATAAACTGATTTCAAACAAACCAAAAGCTTCTGGACAACCAATGAATGAATTTTGTTTAGCTTAATTGATATTGCTTTGTAAATTATTGTTTGATGAAATGAACATTATTCCTGTTCCACATGGGTATTGCAGATATTACCTCTCCATGACTGTAGTGTATACAATGTATATTAATTGGAATTCAGTATATTCCATCTAACAGATGACTAATCAATGAGCATTACAGTTTTTATATTTGTTTTGTACAACTGATCCCCCCCTTCCTCTGTATTTTGTCTTACTTTAAAATTGAGAGCTTAATATGTCAAGTTAGCAAACAAATTTTTGGAAAAATGGGGGGGAAAATATTGGACTGGATTAAAGTAATTTTTTTAATCTACTTCACCCCAACCAAAGCAGTAAAGCTACTGAGACTAAAGGGGTTGCTGAGTGTGGAAAAATTAGGAGCAGAAACATCAATGAGTGGGAAGAGAAAAGAGTAATCAGGAGGATGGTAGATAGCAACTGACATTGCATTTAAATTTTTGCAGATTAAAGTTGGTTGGAAAGCACGTGTTTGGAAAGGAGTTCCGCAAGTGAAAAGTGTGAGAAAAGAAAGTATTAGCGTAAAACTTGTGGTTACATCTAGCGGGCTCAACTGTAAATTGATGAGTACTCAACGTCGGTTTAATACTGCGCTTAAATTCAAAAAAGTCTAGGTACCATAATGAAGAGCTCATCTGAACAATTAACATGAAAGTATTTATAGAAAAAGGCACAGGTATGAAACCTTGATGTTCAATTTTCAGTACTTATTGTTAATACTTTTGTTACATTGAGTGTACCGTGTGTGTGTGTGTGTATATATATATATATATATATGGCCTCAATAGTACTTGCTATAGGCACAGCTTACACAAATATTAAAAATAAAGAATGGCTAAGGAGATAAATAAACATAAATAAAACATTTTATCTTACACAAAGAAAACATCTAAATAATGTTTAGAAATATTTTACCTATTTTCTCTATGAAAAAGCAAATCTAGCAAAGATAATAAAAATTGTCTTTACTTACAATTCCAGTGCATCATTCTGTAAAAGGCTATGCATTTCCCATGTGGCAAAGAAACATCCTCTTGTCATGGCATCTACCTCAAAAGTAGCTATTAAGGGTGGCTATTGACTGGCCAAGCATAGTGTATACTAATTAGGGGAGAAGGAAAGTTAACCTAACAGTTATATTTCCATTGTTTTTGATTTTTTTTTTTGTTTTTTTTTTCTTTCAGAATTTAAAGAATGCTTCAGTTTTAATGCTCGAAAGAATCAAATTAGCCAAGTTGAGGAATTATCACTGATTATGCGTTCCTTGGGATTCAGCCCAACACGAGAAGAAACAACAAAATATTTAGAAAAATACAAAAACGGTCAGTACAGCTTTTTTGTGTGTGTACCTCAAAAGATCTTGTAAATAAAATTCAGAAAATAATCCCATATTTATATGGAATTCATATTTGATTAACAAATTAATCTCATTCTTCTTCTTAAATTAAATATTGATGAGCTACCAAAATGTGTTTTAGTTTTTTAGGTACCTCCACAAGATCACTAAAAGAGCATAGTATGATGAAAAAGACGCCAAACTTGACGAAAACAAAACTTTATCATCTAAATGTTTAAGAGGAAAGATCAAATTATTTTGGGGGTATTTTTTTACATTTTTTAATTGTTCCTAGCATGTCCAAAATTTTCGTTAAAAATCTTTTTTTTTTTTTTTTTTTTTTTTTTTTGAGTCAGCAAAATTGACAGATTGCAACCATTTCTTTCCATTTTTATATAAAAAAAAAAAAAAAAATGAAAATCTCACTTTGAAATTCTTTTAAGTATAAATTATCATTTTTTCAAAATTTTAAGAAATTCAGAAATTATGTCTGTTTAAAATATTTTGAACCAAGCTTAACTTAGCTTCTGTGCCAAAAAGATGTAATTTGAAAATAAAACAAAGCAGGTCATAAAGTTTTGCCTCACTTAACAGGTGATGAATGACATATTGATGGATTCCGTGAGGATAATTTATTCTATGGAAGGAGAAAAGTGAAATTATTTAGAGTAAAGTGAACAAATTATTTACCTCGTTATTTTTAAAGAAAACTTTTGGCACTCTAATTTTATTTTTTGTACTTAGCTTTCACCTTTACGTTTATGATGCTTTATGGAAAATATATTATAAAGAAATTAAAATAAGACTGTTAAGAGTGAGATTAAATTTCATATTTCATAAGAAAGGTATCTAATTAATTTATAGGTATCTTTCTTATGAAATTTTATCAGAAGTATACATAAAATACTATAATTTTATGTACATTTATTACATTTTACTTTATTTGTATTTCCATTCATTTTATTATTAATTTTGATTTTTCATCTATGGAAAAAATGTCATAACTGAGATTAATATAAAAATAAGATCATCTAACTTTCATGAGATGATACTGATACTTGTAGGTACTCTTCTCAGTTGAAATTGAAAAATCAAATTAACTTCTCTATACGTGTTTCGCAAAAGTAAAGGCCTTAACAGCAGAGAACAATGCTTAACTCAAATAACGCAACTTAATTGTATTCTGGTTGGTCTTCCGTACTTTATAATTACAGTCTGATTATAAACACAAAATTACATTTCTTAATTACTGCGGATCTTCTGATTAGTGAAAATGATACAATATACAACACGCTAAAAAATGATCTATCTAAGGACACTTAGGAAACCCGATGCGGCTTTTAACTAATTTTATAATATTTTAACAACTTAAATGTAAAAATCTATTATAATTAAAGAAATAACAAATAATTGTATTAAAAATTCATTTGCTTTCAGAAATTATTGTCCATATTCATAAAAACAACTAAAAGCAAATAAAAGCATTTGAAATTAAATAATATCTTTGTTTTATTGAGTTTTGTATGTTACAATTCAGAGCTGATTTTCAGGTGATGGGAGGGGGCAATTAAAAACAAAAAAAAACATGATTTGTATTCCTCAAAGGCTTGTGCTTTTAACTATTGTAATCACTAAATTTGACGCGATTGAATTTCTAGCATTTTCATAAAATTAGTTATGGGGGAGGTAATAAATATAAAAAAATATATTTCTGCCATGACTTTAATAAAAAAACAAAAAAAACATAATAATTTTGATCATCTATGAATAGTTTCTGAAAGTTTCATTAACATCTGACAATTTTTTTATTTTTGCAAGATTTTCCAAATTAAAGTGTGACATACAAAAAAAACATGCTAAAAATTGTATGTTATTTTACTAGTTCTGGTGATACAAAGAGAAACAAAGTTTTTTTTAATCAAAATTTAGAATGTTCTAAAAAGAAGGAAAAATTTTAAAAAATAATTAAAATAAACTTTGATCTTTCCTCTTAAAAATAACATAAGCATTTAGACGATAAAATTTTGTTTTTGTCAATTTTGGCGTCTTTTTCATCATGCTATGCTCTTTTTTTAGCGATCTTATGGAGGTACTTAAGTTTAGTTTCCATTCTTTAAGTCAATAATAATGTAGGAATAGTTAACTATGCTTACTCTTGTGGTACTACCTAGAATTGAACTCGCCATCATAGGCTAACAAATTTCTGAAAATCTTAGGCTCCCACTCCTCAATTTAATGGATGTGTTTTAAGCAGTGGCAGCAGCAGGCTTGTCTCCCTTCCTACCAAAGACGACTTAACCATTAGGCATTATCTAAGTTTATTGAAATTTCTTCTCAGGGTGAAATTTTCTATTTGGTGAAGTACTGTCAGTTTATTGATCAAGGTCTTGTTTTAAATGGAATTATTGCAATAAATAAGGAAATATTAATAATTAACCTGCTTTCTTTCTTTATAAACTAAATACTGATATGCTACAAGGATGTTTTTCAATGTTGCTTTTTATATTATGAAATAATTTTAAAATTGAGTAAAGGTTTCTGATTAATCTAATGATAGGAATGATTGATTCATTTTCTACAGCTTATAAACCCTTTGCTGGTTATTTAAAGCTAGAAAATATTTTTAGATTGAAAATAAGAAAGAAAGAAAAAAAATCCATGAAAAGTAAAAATTAATTTGTTTTTTACAGCTTACCAACCCTTTACAGCTTATTTAAAACCAGAACATATTTTAAGACCATGATTCTATTTTGTTTTTTCCGAAGTAATAATGGCTTAGAGATACAAATCTTACTAATTAACTCATAACTGGAGGGAGAAAAGGTGGATTCATAACTTTCCAACAGTATTTGTGTGCAAGTGAATATAATGAACCTAACATGAATTGGAACTCTGCTCTCTGAATAACAATTCCAAACCAATATCCATTACATGATTTGCACATCGAAGCTTACAGCACCTGGTATTCACAAATAGTCACCCATCTAGGTACCAGGCTCAATGTTGCTTAACTTCAGTGATTGTACAGAAACCAGTGTTTCAATGTGATGAGGCCAAAAGCTGATAGGAATAATAGATAATATTGAAGGAATGATTGTAATAAACGTGAAAACACTGACACGCTACATAGGATGTTTTTCAGTGTTTTCATCCTCTTTAACAATGTACAAAAATCTGTGATCAAGAAATGGGGGATTACTTAATGTTTTTATCAGAGAAAACTGCTTTTTCTCAGATTTTGATTTTGTTCATCAGCGTGTCTTCAAAGCTTGTTTGTCTTCTATTATTCTCTGGTAATTTAAAAAAATTTTTTTTTTTTTTTTTTTTTTTTTTAATCATTTCACCCCAAGCAAGGTAGTAAAGCCACTAAGTCACAAGGAAATTCTGGGTGTGAGAGAATTAGAAAGGAGAAGCATTATTGAGGAGCAAAAATAACAGAAGAGGAAAACGGATAACAGTTGACATTACATTTAAATTTTTAAAGATTGACTGAAAAGCAAGAAGCCTGATGGGATTTTCTCAAGTGAGAAGTGCAAAACGAGAAACTGTTAGTATAGAATTTATGGTTACGTCTAGCCATTTTAACTGTAAATTGATGAGACCTTGTTGCTAATTTAGTACTGTGTTTAAATTCCTATCGTGTAGGTACCATAGCAAAGAGCTCATCCGAATAATTTATAGAAAAGACACAGGGAAGCAACTTTATGGCAATGGGGAAAATGACTGAAGCTGAGATGCCAGGTCAGGACCAATAATATTGCTGATTTGTCTTTGGATTTTATAAAAGTTCTCTAAATATATTTTTAAATGATCCTCTGTCATTAACAAGCCAAGAATTCAAATAAGTTCTTAGTCTTAAGTAAACAAAATTGAAACAAAAATGGAAATCATTTATTGACGACAATTTTTATTTAATCCACATTTTGTTGTTTTTCATCTATTGATCAGTTTTAAACCAACTTATTCATGCATCTGATTTCTTGACACTTCTATGTGCCATGTTTTTTCAAGACATTGGTAATCATGGCTCTCCACAATTTCCTGTCCTTTATAGCTCTTAATAAATGTTCTTTTTTGTTATCTTTCCTAAACCTTGTTCTGCCATGTATTTACTCAAGCTTACTAGGTAGGTCATGTGTTGCTTTCCTCTGTCCTGTGGGTATCAAATTTTCCAAGTCCTCTTTCTTCATTTTGCTTTAGAGATTTCCACTGTCATCAAACAGTGGAAATTTTATGTTAGGTATAAATATCCATTTTGATTTCATGTTCTCTAAAACTTTGTCATTGCTCACATGTTCAATCCACAGTATTCTCAGCATCCTTCTGTAGAACCAGATTTCTGTTGCTTCAAGTCTCTTTGTGAGGAGATTGTCCAGTATTCACTGCCATATAGAACTGATATTACATAACATTTTATAACTCTTTGTTTTTAACAAACTTTTCTTGTTTTTTTTTTTTTTTTTTGATACTCTGCTTCACTTTTGGAAGGCATCTTTCACTATCCTAATGCACCTTCAGATTTCAGTGTTGCACTTTCCACCCTATGTCAAAACACTTCCCAGGTATTTGAATTGTAATCATTTGATTTTGGTATCTTCAATTGTTAATTTGCATGTTGTAGGTGTTTTTTTTTTGCTAATACCCATGCATTCTAATGTTTTGCAATTAATTAGTCCTTTCTTCTCACTTTCCTTCACTAGGAATTCTTGTAGTGTCTTTCTATCAACATCAACACTAACATTTTCATATGTCGCTAAGATTGTTACCACCAATAATGAATCTTGTTAGGCCTTCTAATTCTCTTAAAATTGCTTCACTGTGTGGGTTAAACAAGTCTGGTGAGAAGACGCATCCTTGTCTTAAGCCCCTTTCTATTTTTCTATATATATTGCTATATAGTTTCTGCATTATTCTAATATCCTTCCCAAATATGCTACGGCTACCTAGCTATTTTAACAGTTTTTTGTTGCATACTTTATCAGATGT